ACTTAGTTCATGGTCAACACAATTGCTGACCATGGTTCTAAAGTAAACAAAAACTGTTTGTCTCTGACAAGAGCAGGGTTAGGTGGACTGCCTGGCCAACAACACATTGTATAGGAAAATTTCTAACTAACAATGTATATAGTATTATCTAATCAAAATACATTTTGCAACACATATCTCACGTCATACGGACATTTCCCTGCCTAATGGGCAAATATGCAGACAAGGAAAAAGATCTCCAGTTAATGAAGTACATACTGTTTTCCATAAAAGGAAATGCTTACTTGAGGTCACATATAACTGCATACACTCTGGTTAGTTTCTCTTGGCTGTAACCTTGGAAATTGAACTTGCCATTTTTGTCCAGATATTCTGGCAGCTCTTCAAGCAGTGTCTCTGTTATGACAGTAATTACATTTTGCTCTTCAATGAGATGACGTGCCTAAGAAGGAAAAATGCATTTCAGTAGAAATGTTCTTCAGAAACAGTTACTAGGATCCCTTTTTTAATTAAATATTTTCTTGCAATAAAAGAACATAACCATTACTGTCATTGTGCCAATACTTACACAAATGATAGTAAAATAATCTGTACAGCGCTATAATTGCTAGGTTATGAAGTGATCCTCACGCTTTCATTAGCGAAAGAATATCATTGGATTTAGTTTCACTTTTCTCCCATACTAGAGCCAATGGGGTGTGTGTGTGGGGGGGTAGCTCTTTCAGACCACAATAACCTGGATGTATGTAAAATCCTATGTAAAATCTCCATTGCTGAAAGGGATTTCTATCAGCAGAGTGCGACTCCCCTGCCTCCACCCACTGCACTGCATAGTTTGCTTAGAGTAAGTCAAAGAGGAAATAGCAAAGGTGATGCAGTGGTCACTTTCAGTGGCTCATATTGGCCTCTCTACCTCTTTAACTGGTTATATTCAGCCTTGTAATTTGTTAGTTGTCTGATCAACAGCAACAGGTAAGCATTTTCGATAGCAAATAAACATGAAAGTTTTAAAGTTTGCTTTGCTTCCTTTTATAGCACAAATGACTAACATAGGCCAGGAATCACCACAGATTGAGAGTTTATTTGCATGATTTCTGATTTCCACTGAATACTAAAATATCAAATCAAATAGGAATACAAATCCAGATAGAAATTATCTCAATCCAAATATAATCCACTTCTTGCTTTAGGGGATCACTTATGTGCAAAACATTAACATAACATAATGAAAATGTAAAATGTACTTCTATATACTTGGATGATTAGCTGTACGCACCAATGTAGGGACAGTGAAAATTTGAACTGAAAATGCTGTCACGGAGATCTGCTTCTCATGGTCATCCCTGATGTAGTCTCTCTGCAGTGTTTTGTAATACTGTGAAGACAAGACAAGAAGAAGCCTGTGACTGACTGTTCTCACACCAGTGTGATGCAATGGTTTGAGTGCTGCAGTAAGATCTGGAAGACTCAGGTTCAGAAGTGCGCTGAGAGACCTTGGGCCTGTCACTCTGTCTCACCCTAACGTGTCTCACAGGGCCGTTGAGAGGGTAAAATGGAGGACTTTGGGTCCCCACTGAGGAATAAGGCAAGGCACAAGTGAAGTAAATAAATATACTAGCATAACAAAAGATTTAAAAATTAAAAATGTATTAGAAATTATTCATTTCAATCTTGAAAAATGTTATAAGCATAATTTTTAATTTCTCACACGCCCACAACAGTTCTTATTCTAGAATAGATTTTTCCTGATCCTCACAGAAGATTTTTCAGGACAAAAAGGCTGCCAGGGGAAGATGTGTTCTACTTGCTTCTTGCACAGGATTTCCTCTTGCATCTAAACCTACATCATATTTACACTTAGTTAATAAAAAATGCAAAAAAGGGGCATTTTAACTTTTAAAAGTCCAGTGGAACTCAGGAAGAAAATGAAGCATCAAAAAGGCAAGGACAAAACAAAAATCTTTCAACAGACAAGGGGCATGCATATGTATGATGGATTGGGCTCTCCAAGAAAGCAATTAAGAGTTGATGAAGACTTGCAATTCAGAATTAGCGCTAAAGAAAAATCCCCTGGTACAGATGGGTTAACAGATAATTATAAAATAGTAACTGATAAAACCAATGGATCAGCTGAATTTATCAGTGCAATTAAGCCTCTTACCTGAAGAAGGGAGAGGGAGGAGAAATTGGGAAGGTCCTGCTAGCAGCAGCTAAGTACCATCTGGACTGACTGTCCACTTATTCCTACTCTTAGCTTCCTGTCATTACAAGTCTTAAGTGATGACAAGGGGTGACTGGCAAACAAAAAGGTTACTTCAAAAGATAAGCCAAGTTGGAACAACAGGCTGTTAAACTGTCACTAGCAGAAGGCAAGAGGTGACTGCTGATTCTTCTCTCTTGTCCACCAAGAACAGCATTTCAGGATGTATCAGCAGGGGGAAGGCAAGACTGTACCACTCCACTAAAGGAAATGCCTTTCATTAGCAGAGATTTACCATGGGATCCAAGCCACTGTCTATAAACGTAGGATTCCACAGGGATCAGGAAAGCCAGGTGCTATTTAATTTGTTCATAAATTATCTTGAACATGGGCAAACTGCAAAATGGCCAATTTTGTAGAGGACACCAAATTATTAATGAGGCTAAGAAACAAAGCAGACTCTGTAGAGCTCCAAAAAGATCTCTCCAGACTGAATTAGTAAACAGTACATAACCTTTTGGGTATGTTGTAGGGCTATCTTTCGGCTATGCTCCTGCTGAGTGCAGGGGGTTGGACTACATGACCTGCAAGGTCCCTTCCAACTCTAACATTCTATGATTCTATGTTAGGTTCAATGTAAGTATAAAGTCATGGTCACTGGGCAAAAACTCAAACTTTAAATGTATGCTTCATGGAGTCTGGCTGAACTGTCAGTGACTAACCAGGACAGACATTATAGGGCTGTGGTAGACAGCTCAATAAAAGTGTCAATATGCAGCAGCAGCAAAAAGGCAAATTTTAGGTTAGGTTTAGATTGGAAAGTAAACAGGATCTATGGTGGAACGGCAGTTGAAATAATGTTGCCTTTCTAGTCACTATATCTAAAAAAACTGATACTGGAGCACTGGCAAAAGTGTAACTAAGATGATCAAGTGGTTGGAGCACCATCTCTAACAGTTAAAACTAAGGAGTTTAGGCTTTTCAGTTTAGAGAGAAGGAGGGTGGAAGACATGACGGAAGGCATGAGGTGTTTCACCAAACTTCTAATGTAGAGTCATTGGATCTTTAAGATTTATTTTTAAATGTCCATATTAATTAACAAACAGTAAATCAAAAATAACAGTACAATCTCTATGAGTTGAAGGCAGTAACCATTATCAATATAATCTGCCCAAGAAGCAACTAAAGAGACTGCCCCACATGTGAAAGTCATAAAAGGATGCCAGCAAATAATGCAGGTTTCACTTGGTTTCTGTATTTGTAGAGCCAGTTTCAGTTTATGGTCCAACATGAGTGTATAATTTTATAAAGTTTCAGATGAATAAATTAATCCTTTCCAATGCATATAGACATTTCAGCTCTGGCTACAAAAAGGAAATGGGATTAAATAAAAATTTATACTGTAGAACTAATTGATTTCACACGTTCACCCTCGTTACGTTCACCCTCGTTATCTTTTTCTAATCAAGGTTTTTGTGCTGCTGAATTACTGCATGTTGTACCAAGGGGAAACCACAGAGGGGGGGAAATTAGTTTCAGTTCTTTCAAGTATCTCATAAATTACAGTTTATAAAATACTGGCTTTATAATAAGTAGTACCAATCAATTACACCCTAAAATTTTACTTTGAGCTGTTGTAATGAATCACCATATCCACTGAGTGTATCTACACTATGGAAAAGTGCTTTCCATTCAGAGGGTGAAATCCAGTGCAAAATTTCTCCTTCCACCAGACCTCTTGTGCAAGTGGAAATGCAAGACCAGGTTAGCTGCTAACTCAAACTTATTGTATCCTCACATGATTTTGTGAAATCAATTTCTGGGCACTGTAATATATAGGGAGTAAAGTGCTCAGTGTCACACAAGAACTTGCACAAGCAGAAGTGCACTAAGTCCTGCTATTCATTTACGTTTATAGTCTGCCTTTCTCAGTGAGACTTAAGATGGTTTTCACAATTTAAATTAATACACTCAATAGGATGGTGCATCTAATAAGAAATGTAATAGGACTACGAATAGCAGAAGTTTAAAATGGAGATGTCCTTTGAACAAAGCACAAGTATTAAACATGACATGTTAATTCAGAACATGGTATTACATTTCTGCTTGCACATCACTACATCCATGCTACTGAATTTGTCGTATTTCATGAGACTTCAGAATGATCTATAAATGATACAAACTCATTATTATGTAATTATTCTCACAATTTTAATTAAACTACAATTTTTTCAGGGGTGATTTCATAAGTGATTAAAATCTGTTTTGAAAGACTCAATAAGCTCTATCAAATGCTTGTTTTATGAAAAGTAGGACACCTTTCACCAATTCCACAGCAGACAGTCACATTTTACCTAGCACTGTTCCATGCAGTGTTCTGGTGGACTGCTTTGGAAGGGAGGGAAGGTCCATTACATGAACATTGGTTGGATATAACCAGTTATTTGGATAAAATGCATTATGCCCACACTGAACAAAATAATGGTTAGACAGTATGATGGACTAACTTATTTTGAATTAAAGCAATTTTCGTTGTTACCATTTATTGTTAAATTTCATTGTTAAATTAAATGGCTGAGAGCATTTTATTCATTCATAAGATCATAGCTGTAAAAGTTTCAAAAGAAGACATTAGTGCTGTAGGATGAAAGCCAATATAAGACACCAATTACCTTAACGAATTCCATAGCAAAAAGTTTTTTGTATTCCATTTCCATGAAAAAACTGCTGAAGATTAATTCATGTAAGACTTTTCTTGCTCCTGGAAAAATCAATAGTTAGTGTCTTTTCCATAAATACTCTTTTATTTTGACAGAGCAGTCAAGGGGAAAAAGCAAAATGAACATAGTATTTGAATCCAATTTAACCATGGACTTTTTACAAATGCAACAGTTAATAAAGCAAAAAGTATTCAAGAGGAAATACTGAAGCTATTACATTTATTAGTTATTGTAGATTTTCCTGGTTGTATGACCATGGTCTTGGCATTGTAGGACCTGACGTTTCACCAGCCGCTGTGACTGGCATCCTCAGCGATATAACACAGAAAGATGGAGTACTCTCTGTGTCAAGGTGAGAAGAAAAATGGTAGGCAGGTAATTTATATCTACTCAGGAAGGTGGGGTAGGGCTGAGTCATTATCTTGTAGGAGTTCCCCAGGCTATGAAAATGGAAGAATACAAAAATAAGTTTAGAGAACTTCTGGACCCTGTCACATACAAAAAACTAAAATGAGATCCAACCTGCAAAATCACCAGGAAAACGAGCTCGCTGATTAAGAATTCTTCACTTGATCCCGACGCACACAAAAAACTATGTAAGACAGAAGCACAGCCACCATGACTATATGGACTCCCTAAAATTCATAAGGACTGAGTCCCACTCCGACCCATCATGAGTGCCATTGGTTCTCCCACACATGAATTAGCTAAATACCTGGCCAATCTCCTACAGAACCACATCGGAAAAACCACAACATACATCAAAGATTCAACACATTTCATCGACAAAATCAGTCCTACGAAACTCAGCCCACAGGACATACTCGTCAGTTTTGATATGGTATCTCTTTTTACCAAGGTTCCGGTAAAAGACACACTCGTGTTTGTTAATCAGATTTTTCCGGAAGACATAACAGCCTTATTCCAACATTGTTTGACGACCAGTTACTTCCAATGGGATAATGAATTCTATGAACAGATGGATGGGGTTGCCATGGAAAGCCCTCTCAGCCCGGTTATAACAAACTTCTACATGGAACATTTTGAAAAAACGCTTTAGAATCTTCACCCCTCAAGCCTACAGTCTGGTTCTGGTACATAGATGTTACCTTTATCATTTGGAGCCATGGAGAAGTAGAATTAATGGAGTTTTTAGGCCACCTCAACAACATACACCCGAACACCATGGAAAAAGAAATCGAGGGTAAATTCCCATCTCTAGATATCATGGTCATCCGCAAAGCTAATCTTCAATTAGGTCGCAAGGTCTACAGAAAACCAACTCTCACAGATCGTTATTAACACAAAAACTCCAATCACCGCCCTCGGCAAAAAGATTAGTAGACCGTGTAAGATGGATATGTGAACCGCACCTTCTCAACGATGAAATAAATCATTTAAACCACTCACTTCAAGCAAATGACTACTCCAAAAATGAAATCAGAAGAGCGATTAAACCAAAGGTAAAACAAACAACTGAGGAAAAACAGTCTCCCATGGGAAAAGTGTTTTTGCCATATATCAAGGGAATCACTGATCAGATGGGAAAACTTATGAAAAAACACAACCTACAAACAGTATTCAGTCCCACCAGAAAAATACAACAGATGCTATGATCAGCAAAAGACAGAAGAGACCCCCTCACTTCTGCAGGAGTATACAACATACCCTGCAATTGTGGACAGGTTAACATCAGGACCACACAGCGTAGCATTCAGACAAGAATAAAAGAACATGAAAGACACTGCAGACTGGGCCAACCTGAAAAATCAGCAGTGGCTGAACATAGCCTAACTCAAACAGGACACAGTATCTTATTCCAAGACATTGAAAGGCTGGACAACACACCCAATTACCATGTCAGACTACACAGGGAAGTCATTGAAATTCATAAACATAAACACAATTTCAACAGGAAAGAAGAGAGTTTAAAAATAAATAGGGCATGGTTTCCTGTCCTGAAAAACACAAAATGCTCTACATCTCACAGTAGCACTACAGATAAGATTAGAATTTCAACAGCCAATCCATATGCAAAAGAACCTCCTCAGGAAAGCTCCTCCATTAGCATGTCACAGCCTGGGGGACTCCTCAGCCCTACCTCACCTTCCTGAGTAGATATAAATTACCTGTCTATCATTTTTCTTCTCACCTTGACACAGAGAGTACTCCATCTTTCTGTGTTATACCGCTGAGGATGCCAGTCACAGCGGCTGGTGAAACGTCAGGTCCTACAATGCCAAGACCACAGCCATACAGCCTGGAAAATCTACAACAACTAATGAACTCCGACCTTGAAAGCCTTCGACAACATATTGTTAAATATATCATAGCCACGTCATTTTTAAGTATCCATCACTTACTTTAGCAATGCATGACATCCAGGGCAGGCTTGGTGCCAATACTAAACAATACATTTTTTGCTGGACAAATAACAGAGTATGTGGTAGAAGGGAAATTGCGACATAAGCTAAACTAAAGTAAAGCAGTATCCAGCATCCTTTGCCAGTGAATACAACCACCCAGGAGTCCCCTACTGCTTTAGCTTATGAGGTCCTATCTATATACCTTACTACTTACCTATGTTTCTCTCCCCCTCTGAACTACAGCTCAGTTCTGCCATTAAGAATACTTAGCATGTTTCACTAGCATAGCAGTAGAGGTTGGAGCTCATATGCTAACAAGGATCATCACCATTGTAAAGAGTCAATACACGGATCAGAACTGGTTCGAGATGTGATGCGGCAGAAGTATCACTGATCCACCTATTCAGCTTTCTGAAGTCACCACAAAGATTTTCATTAAAATGTCTCTGAATTCATCAATGAAATGTGCTATTTACTTTGCAACAATAATGACATGGTAACTCCTTTAAAATTAACACTGCAGCAATAAGTTGACTATCAAACAGCCACTAATAAGATGTTTTCCATTCTATACTGTACAGAATTTCGGTATAATACTGGTCCAACTGACCTTTATACAGGTTTGCATCCCAAAGCATCAGTGTGCTTATACAACAAGGTTTCTCTGAATCAATTTCTTCTTTTAGACATGTATGACAGAAGATCTGACGAAAGTCACCTAAGTCAGAGGCACATTATTTGAACTGAAGAGTTAGTAGGATAATCATGACACACTTAAACTATCTATCCTTTTGGCGAAGATTTAAGACAATAAAGCTTCAGGAGTAATATGTATCAGTGTTTTGAAAGGAAGCAATCTCACCTCATGATTATTTCTACATCTATCTTTATAAGAAAATCAATGATAGCAGACATTTCCCTTGGAATAAAAGGTTTACAGAAATCCCCCCCCCCCATTTACCTCATACAAATAAACCAAGGTAAGATTTGGGATATTTTTTAATTCTCATCTTCCCTTACCCTGCCAAACTAAATCAAATTAAGCACTCAGTTTTCACCACCGCACCACTTCCATATCATTCAACTAAATTCTCAGTATTTTACATAGGGATCATATTTTCTTGTCCAGAATTACTGTGAATAATAAATACATGTTACGCAGTAGTAATGACTAACTGGGGGGAAATGCACCCTGTGGAACTGCTGCAGACAGGCTTGTTCTCATTACACTGCTTGTGTGGCTAGTGTTCAAAAAGCTAATACCAAGGAAATTCTTCTCCTATCCACTCCCCTTTCCACCACAGTTAAACAGATGCTTCTGTACTATTAATTCTGTTTGGGCAAAGGTGGCTGAAAACAGCTACTGCTCAAGCAACGGTAGCCAACACTAAGAAGGGTGTGGAGAAGGAAATGCTAGCTATAGAAGGAAATGCTTTTGGCCACAGAAAAACTAGTATACAGCACAAAGAGAGTCACTAAGATTTCCCCAAGGGTATACAGAAGGTTCCTTCACACTGTCTTCAAGACCAAGGCCACAGCATGATGTGGATTGTCTAAGAAGCTACCACACCCATACATTATTCCCCCAGCTAGATCTCCATCTATTTTTTGGACAGTCAACTGAATCCACATTGTTTCAATCATGCTGTTGGCCGATCCAGAAACAGCAATATTTTGTTGCCTCAGGAAGATAACACAAACTGAAGCTTATTCAAGTAAATGGGTGTGTTTCCCCATCAGATCAGCAAGTTTAATAGCCATCCAAAGTTATGCTGTGCACTGGAACAGCTGAACCTGAATTATGACTGATGCATCATACGGATCCACCCTAGCAAGCTGTTCAGAGTTGGGATGAAAGCAAGAACCACTGCTATAATAACTTTTGTATAGGAGAATATTTTAAATTTAACAGTTCTGTCAATTTTGAAAGGAACATTTAAACAGACATAACTGACATGAGCATAAAAAAATTAAGAGCCCCTTGCTGATAGTTTGGCATCTGTATATAGTACTGAAGTTACTTACTTGAATAGCTCATAAGTTTATTTAACCAGGAACCAAGACGCAAAGCAAATTTCTGATGAGACATTATATTAGCATGAAGAACCTTCACAGTAAGAGGATGCTGGGAAACGTTTTTTGAATGTTTCTGCAAGATAATAATATTTAGAATTTGAATGAGTGCATATTAGGTTGTTACTGGATCCTCCCTGTTCCTTTTAACAATTTCTATTTTAAAATTAACATAACTTGAACATTAGGATTAGATATATTCAGCAAATGTGATAGAAAGTAGGAAGAAAAAATTCTCAAGAATGTTTTAAACACAAGTATCTTAGCCAAGCAAACAGTCGTTAACGACATCATATTAAACATTGCAACAAATTACCTTTATTTCTTCTTTGGCTTCCTGACAAGCAACATATGACCCTTTCATAACAGCCTTCCGACCCTGATTAATTAAAAAAAGAAAGTGGTGGTAAACTTAGGTGAGGACATTAATAGAAATGGCATTATTCAATTATGATAAAAAGAACAAAGAAGGAGTAGAAAAACAGATAAGAATACTTTAAGATGCCAAGACAAATTAAGCTAGAACAAATATTCAGTAGCTTTGTATAACTGTAAGAGCACCACTGTGAATTCACCCTTCAGAGCATCAATTGGATAGCTAGTCATACAAGAGAGAAAACTACAACAAGACAGACTTCCCAAAATACTAAACAAAAAATATTTGTTTTAACGGGAATGTTGCCCAGTGATTTACCTCAGCCTTGTATGATAGAAGCCATAATGTGAATTCTTAGTTTTGTGCATGAAGTGGCACAAATCATTATAAATTTTTAAATGAAAAGCTTGCAGGATTACAAATAAAAATAAGAGGCAGTTCATGGGATCTGTATTTCTAAGGGAAAATGACATATTAACTCATGCACCTACACCTCTCATCACCTTGCACAGACTTACAGTTTTCCAACAGGAGCAATTCCCATATAAGACTAAATTGTACGGATATGTACACCTGCGGAGACTACCCAAGATCAACGAGACACACCTTTGCAAAATTATCACTTTGTATTATCACTGAAGGCATAGTATGAGTCCTGAAGACTAGAGGCAACACTTCAGGAATCTCATGCCAGACCACATTGTACTGGGAGAGAGAGCAAGTATGGCTAACACACTGTTATGGGATAGTGCAATATTAATGCTTCTGGTATGTAATATCTTGTTACTGTTGATGAGATCACTTTGCAAAGATTAATCTGCATGTGTACAAACTACAGAATTGGCTCTGTGTCAAACTGGACTACAACATGGCACAATAAATGGTGTATACTACTAACCTCTTTATCTATAGCATTTGTATACAACTGGGCCTCTCCAAGCTCACAGCCAAGAGCTCTTTGCAGACTGTAGATAACATGATCATAAGAATGATGCTCATCATTGAAAAGGACACAGTAATATTTGTCCATCTTCTGAGCACTGGAAGAACACAAGATGAAATTTAGAGACCAAAAAAGAAACTAAAATAATGACCAGCATAAATGCTGGCAACACAAATATTACAAGCCAATATAATATATAAAGGGGGCACGGGAAGAATCAACATGAGGAAAAAAGAGAGGAATTCATCAATATCTGATTCATAGAAATTACATGAATTTCCCTAATTCAGAATCTATTCTTAGACGGGATTAAGCGTTCCATGATAGATCAAGTTATGAATTTAGGGGTGCACCTGGACCCGAAATTATTAATAGATAACCAGATTAATGATAGGAGGAACATTTCAGTTACATATAACTTGTGCACTGGATCCTTATCCAGATCCTGCTGATGTGGCAATGTTAATACATGTTATCATAACTTCCAAACTGGACTACTCTAATACACCCTACCTAGGGCTGCCTTTGAAGACAACTCAAAAGACCAAATTGATCCTCTCCAAGATGCCATTCAGATCACTTCAGTCCAGTGCTACATCAACTGCACTGGCCACCTACTTGCTTTGGGGCACAATTCAAAGTGTTAGTTATTACCTCTAAAACCCTTCACAGTCTAGGATCTTCATATTAATTGAACCACATCTCCCAGTATACTTTGCTGTGTCATTTATGCTCATCAGATAGCCTCCTCAAGGTGCCTCCCTGAGGAGCCTCCCCCTGCAGGTGCCCTCCCTTAGGACTATCCATACAACCACAGCAAGATCAGGGGCCCAGTGCTTGGGAATGACCTGCCAAACTGGGGAAGGAAGGCTTGCTCCCTTGCTGCATTTAGGAAGGCATGTAATTCTGCAGACAACATTTGGTGGTGGGTGAACGTTTGCAGCTGATTTGGCTGTGAGTTTGCTGATCCTGTGCGTTAAGTCCTCTCAGGCATCTGAACATTTTAAAATTTGTGAATTGTATATTTTAATCTGTCTTCATTTTGTTAATTTATGCCTTTTCAACTTAATTGCTATATTTGCTCGACTCTGAATCCAAGGAGATAAGGTGGAATAGAAATGTTTGAAATAAAGAAATATTCTGAATTATTCTTGAAAGATTTAACAATACAGACCAAACAAGAAGAAATTTAAATATACAGTTATCAGTAAGTTAACATTTCAACATCAATGGACCCAAAAACCTATGTTCAGACCAAGACAGGCAAAATGCTAGGATGGGATGAGAGCTCTGTACCACCCTAAACCAGTGGCCATGTTCTCTCCATTGTGCCTTGCCATTTCTGTCTCTAGGTGCAGTTGTGCTTCTTTAGCAGCCTGGGGTTTTTCCTCAATTTAGGAATAATCATAACCACACTCTTCCGCTTCCTCAAAAGAAAAGGGAAAAAAGTTCTGCAGTTCTGCTTTTAAGATACGTAAGAGTTCCCAGCAGCAGCTTGCAGCAACAGAATCACAGCTGAGAGCAATTATTATATTTGTTTTACAAGAAGAATGGCCTCACAGGAATTTACCTGTATCCTATTTATCAAAATGGAAACCAATACAGTACTCTCCCTTTTCTTTTTTTAAACTGACCAACAATGAGAACGCAGCTTCAGGGTATTTATATGGAGAACTGAAAGACAGGTGGTTGTGATGGTACTTAAACTTCCCATACCTGCCAATTTTGTCCTGCAACTGAGGTTGTCATTAAAAAAAAGCAGGATTTACTGTCTCTTTCAGAAGTTGGCTGTAGGGAAGGAAAAAAGGATGGGGGGGGGGAAGGAGAACGGAACATTTGCAGGGGAACATCAATGGGAAGTTTTATTCTTCTGCCTATCGTATGCAAATGCCCCTTAGCATTACCACTGTAAGGGAAATACGAGATAGGAACGCCAGATTTTCCTTGTACCATACAGGATTTATTCTTACAGAAAAGTGTGCTGTTAAACTGAAGCCCATATCAGTATGAGATTAAATATATAGGAAGCCTGGATATATCAAGCACTATATCCTGACAAACAAATCAGCTCCAAGACAGAATTGTCGTAGAACTTGAGTTGCAGACCCACAACTACAGCGTACCTAAATTACATGATAATTCTATGGTTCTCTTCTCTCCCTTTTATAATCTTGCTGTGGCTTCCTTATTAAGCAACTGTATGTCTGCTGAGTCCTGAACAAATACTGAACAATTGTCAATGTTTTATTTACTAATATTTTATCCCTAATAATTTCCTTTTAAAAAATATTTTTAATATTAAAAATCCCTAATAATTTCTAATGGATCAGGCCACCATAAGCACAAACTGTAAAAAGATGTAGATGTGTGGAGAGAAAGAGAAACAAATTCTGAATCTTGACTTCAACATTTGACTTACCTAGTCATTAGTTCTAGAGGCAACTCCTTCTCTTCCTCCCAAACAGTCATATCTACAATATATTTTATCACTGATGGGAAAATTTTCCTTGCTTGTGCCATTAGCTCTTCATTCAACTGACATTCAGAGTTCTGCAGAAAGCAATAAAAAGCTCTGTAAGGAATCGTAATTATACATATCAAAATAAGTTTTGGAAATTTCACAGATAATTTGTATCTCAAAGAGGCAATAATTTACAATATTATTATGTTGCTCCACCAAAAAAATGAGAATCTTCTACTAGAAAGCTTAAGAATGAGCAGTATATTCAACAGTTTGGAAATGGGTTAGCAATTATGCTTACTTCCCCAAAGTGAAGTCCTATTTATAATGTACCAGTTATCAGAAATATTGTTGCTATCAAAATTACACGAAGATTAACATTTCTGGTAAGCATACAAAAAGGAGTGTTATACAGATACTACACTTGATCTTAGCCATAAGGCTGAGAAGTGAATTATTAACTTGAAGCTCTTCGTTTCAAGTATAATATAATTAAAACTCAAGGTTGCTATTCAGCATTGTCAAATATGATGTCGCTTACTCGACTGATGGATCCAATATTTTTTAGAAGTAGACCCACTAGCAAGTCCAGTATCCCCTGTAACTGCAACAAGAACTGGTTCAACTGGGATTGTAGGAAAGTAAAAAACCGAGTCAAGTACAGATACAAGCTTTTCAGGGGAAAAACCACAGCCAGTGCAAGACACCTATTGTTATAATCTATTAGGGAATATAAATTTATGCTAAAGACGAAAAAGGCCCAAGCCATGAAATCTTTATGGGGAAAAATAATTATAGCTGCCAAAGGAAACAAGACAGCCCCCATATCAACAGCTACTTGAGAAAAATAACTTCAGAAATCTTTATAAGAAGCATGATGGTGAACCTGATTTAAGAGTTTGAGATAGACCTTCAACAGCTTCCACACTGGGATCCTGTAACCTGTCACTGAACAGAGCCATGAAGACCGGAAAATCTTCTGGTCTGGACACTTTTCCCTCTGACCTTTTGAAAGTTGCCCCAAATTGGTGGGCTCAAGTGCTGGCACCATTATTCACATTGATCAAACACGAAGGAATTATGCCAGATTCATGGAAAATATCACTTATTTACACCTATATACAAAAAGTGCGATAAAAGTGACCCACAAAACTTTAGACCAATCAGTCTTTTGGCAGTTATCGGTAAGCTACATGCAACCTCCCTGCAAAAGAAGCTGTTCCAATTGATAGATGAGGAAAATATTATAGGCGATGAGCAAGCGGGTTTCAGAAGAGACCACTCTTGTCTGGACCACTGTTATAACTTGGCCTAATTGATAAACAAGTATTCAGTAGATATTATCAGACAACTGTATCAGCATTCATCAAGAGCCGCCTTTGATTCTGTGTCCCAAGCAGGTTTATGGAACAAGCTTTATGCTGCCTGCTAGATTGCTGAAATTAATTATGAATCTCTACACAGGCAATTCATTATATGTCAAACTAAACAACTTGAGATATATATCTAATTGAATTTCTGTCCAGAGGGGAGTACGACAGGGTTGCGTTCTTGCACCCCATCTTTCCAACTTGCATTTTAATAACTTTGTACCCGGGTCACAGGATATTTCTGTCCATGCACAGCATTTGGAAGGTTGTTCAGTTCCTGCCTTATTCTAGGCTGACAATTTAGTCCTACTTTCAAGAACACAGATTGGTCTAAACTGAGCAATAAAAAGCCTTTACAATCTATTGTAGCAACTCTTAAGAGATCAACCATGATAAATCCAAAAAAATTATATTCACAAAATAAAAAAAGATCAATCAAAAGCCAGAAAATTGATGTGCAATCTATGCAAGTGGTCAATGAATTTAAATACTTGGGGATTATATTCCAGTCGCATCTATTATGGTTCAAGTGTATTTAGTATATTAAACAGAAAACTGAATTAACACTGTTAGCATTAAGGAAACTTTCCCCCCCAAGAGCCCAGTATATACCAGCACTCTTTAGAGTATAGAGGTATTGTGTAGTGGGTTGACCGCATGGCTAGGCCCACTCAGCTCCCATAACATGCTGCACGCTTGACTCTTACACAACTAAAACAAAGACAAACGGCCAGGAGGCCAACTATCTACATATCCAGGGGACACCCCTGGATCCCACTGGGGGGTTCGAATTTCCTTCCCATGTTTCTATTGGCTCCTTGTGGGAGAGACCAGGAGCTCAGTTCCCATTGTTCACCCAGGGTCAAGCTCTGGGTAGTTGCTGGCCCCTGGTGGTGGCCAGTGGACACAACAAGAGGGCACCTGTGCTACCAAGTATGCTCTATGGCTCACCAATTTGGTTCTCAGGCTTCAGACAACTTTTTTTCATAACATTCTTGCACTTCCCCCATGTACAGCACCTACAGTCATATGGCTTGAACTAGGCCTTCCAAATATTTCTATTTTGATGTGGAAAGCAATCATTAACTTTAAATCTAGATTGCTTAACAATTAGCAACCCATGAGTGCTGTTGGTCTTTGTGGAACAAAGCTGCAGATTTTCAAACCACTCAGTGGTGCCAAGTGAGGCCCTTGAGTCCCTTAACAAAGAAGAAAAGAGAGCTACTCATCCAGAAATTACTTAGGACTTGATTAAAGATGCCAGAAGGAAATGTTCTCTGCTTTACACAGAATTAAATATCCAGTTGAATCTGAATCTCTGTACTATCTTCACATGTCGACGATTCCTAAACTGAGACGGCTGTATATGATTGCATGCTGTACATGACTGCATTACCCACAGCTCAGATGAAGGGTCGCTTTCTCAGGACATCTCTAGAACAGCGCTTTTGTGACTGCTCTTTATCAGCAGTTGACTCATTAACGCATGCTTTTCCTTATTGCCCAAAACATGCTGAGGCCAAGGAAAAAATTATTTTGAAATGGTTATCAAAATATTCAATCACTGTGGACACTCATAAGCTAAGATTACTTCTAAGGGGCCACAACAAAACTTGTGCTGTTGAGGTGGCTAATTTTTGCTTTGTTGTTATTCCTAATTTTTAAATTATGGTATATGGACTATAGACTTTTAAACATGAATTAAAAAATCAAATAAAAATTATACAGCAAAACTAAGAAATGACTCTACCTGGAAACAAGAGACATTATAGCTAAAGGACAGAATTTTAGTCCCCACTGATTATTATTTTTATTTAAAAGGGAATAGTTTAATAATTTTTTTGCAACGGACATTCTAAATCACTGGTTCCCAAAGTGGGCAATACCGCCCCCTGAGGGGCACTGGAACAATCCAGGTGGGCAGTAGGAGCCTTGGGTGCAAATTTGCCACTGCATTTTTTGTCCACTTTTTGAAGGTAGAATTCCAGGGGGGTGCGGAGTAATTTTTTTTCTGAAAAGGGGGCGGGAGGCCAAATAAGTTTGGGAACCTCTGTTCTAAATTATTTTGGGGTGCTACGGTATGTTTTAGGATTAGCCTGTTGAAGAATACTATCACCAAATAGTGTTCCAGAAGGTTTGACATAGCTATATGTTAGAAGCAAGTAATTTTGAAAAGGTACTGTCTTCCCATTTATTGTACTAACAAATGTTACCTCCTTCATAGCCCCAGCTGCTCCAGGCTCATGATTTGCACATAGTGGCCCAGCCTTCCATGCTTCCGTATCCCCACAGTCACAAAATCCTCCTCCTGTGGAAGTGTTCATCTGAAGAATTGCAGATCAAATCCAAGATTATACCCATACGTACATTTGCATAGCCAATGCACCATCTCAGTTCCCAAAACAACTGTGTTGGACTCTACAAACTATCCCTTACCCAAAATTTAACAGGGAGCCTAGAATTTAGGAAATTATTAACTGGGGCTTCCCCAAGTCCTCTACAGCAATTTAAAACATAAGCAAGATCTTCCTCCTATTATCTAAAAGCAAATTAATCCCTGTAAACAAGTATAGATTCTGCCTAACATTCTGTCATATACAATTTTAATCCATGAATTATTTCATCATTAATACTCATGCTCATGTTAATCCATATTCCAACATTTAGAATTTTGAACCAACTGAAATTTCCAATCCATGTTCAAAGGCAAGTTAATCTCTTGTATCTGATGCAGCAGATTTGATGCCAGTATTTCTGTATAACTGAAGGGTTAACATGTATCACCACAACCACTCTCGATACGATTTTTTTAACATTTCCAAATGTTTGTCATGCCATACTTAAATCTGTATCCAATTTCAAAAAACAATTCCTTGGTATTAGGTAATAACTTTTAAACATGTCCTTCCTGGACAGAAAAAGTCCTGCTACTTAAAACAATTATTTGTCAACATCCTACTGTAACAGATAAAATCTTGCAGCTCATATTTTCTTACCTTATAACGGTGATTCTTGTGAATGCTGTTCTCGAAACAATCCACACAAAGTACACAAGTTGGATCAATTGCACAATCTCTGCAATTATAAAAATTGTTACATTTTATAATTCTCAAAAGCTCACATATTCTAGCAGTATTACCTAGAGACTTAGCAGACACTATAAACATTTTCAGTTACCCAGTCAAAGTACATTAATTATAAATACAGGATTAATATTCTTACTTCTAACATTAGGATAAATGAGGACCAGGATTAAGATATATACTACATATAGTTTCTCTGCACTATTATGAAATTTAACAGCCATTACAAAATACATTTTTTTATAAACTTGTTTTGATAATTTCTCCCTATTTTACTTTGAGATGAAAGTCAATCTCTTCCTCCCTGACTGCTACTACCCTTTAAACTATTCCCTTCTGTGGCAATTGCATAAGGGCATTTAGAATAGTAGATTTACGCTGAAGGTTCCTGTTACTTGAGGAAGAGGAGGACACTCTGAAAATTAGGTATTCTCCTAGACAAAATCCTTGGAAGCAGGAGGTAGGTTGTTCATTCTGTCAGTAGTGGAGAGGGACACTGACAGTCTGAATGTTACCAAGCAGTACACCCAAGATCAGGATGGGAAGAACGCCAGCCAGAAAAACAGAAGAATCAGACACTTGTTAAAGGACCCACATTCCAAGTGCGGCACCAGCCAAGGCAATGAAATCCATTTTATAAAAATGTCTTATAGTGGAATCTATATATTATTAGAGATGTGTGGCCCTACCTGCAGATAACTAAATCTGTGGATTGGGGCCACACAGCCGCTAAACAGATTTTTCAGCAAACTTGGGGCACTCCTCAGGTTTGCAGAAAAATGTGAATATTAAAAAATACACAGGGGGGGTTAAATCCCCTCAAAAGTGAAGTAGCATTCTCTGCACAAGCCCAGAGAACGCACTTACCTCAGGTGGTCGGCAGCAGCGCTGGGAAGCCGTGCTGGACCCGGTGGCGGCACATCCCTGGAGCCACACTTGGGCATACTGCTACCAATGGCGCAGCCTGGGAGCTGCACTGGGCCCACCAGCGGCAGAGGCACAGGCCCATGAATCACGCTGGGCATGGGCCTGTCAAGAAAGTGGGGGGGGAGGAAGATGCGGGTGCCAGCGTGGTGAGAAGGTGAGAACAGTCGACACAGGGAAGCTCTCCTGCGTGCCGGCTGGATCGACGGTTTTTTAAGAGGAGCTTGGGGGCTCCACTGAAGAGGAGCACAGTACAGGGGGCTCGATTGGGACTCCCCGTAAGTGGCAGCAAGCGGGTGAGAGTCCTTTGATTACCCCTGAAAAGTACTGAGACTCACTAGTGATTTCAGCTCTCATAGTTCCAAAATTGTGTGGATAATAGAGATACATAAACATCAGTTTCTTTGGATAAGGGAGAAACACAGTTCACAGCTGTTTAAAACTATATAAGTGAGTGACTTCCGGTTTTGGCGGTGCAAATGGTGGTCGCTCTCTCGGGACGCTCCTGGAGGCAATTTGCCCACGCGCGGTTGGGGGGGATCCGCACAAGCGGAGACCCTATGGAGCCTTAGTCAAAGGCTCCTAACCAGGGGGCGCGCGCCGGGGAAGTGCTTCTTTACTGAGCGGAAGATCGTACAATTGAGGCTCTCCCTATGCCCCAGAGGCCCCGCCGCGTAGTGCCCCTTATGGGGACTAGCAACGCCACCAACTTCTCGGAGTGATGAAGCGATGAAGCGAAAGTAAAAGAAAATGACTGGCGGCGACCTGTGAGTTGACAATCGAAATAGAAGGCAAAGCTTTAAACGCACTCCCTCCCCCATTGGATTAAGCGTAAGGGAAGACGGTGGTGTAGCGACCAGGGGTCCTCTTCAGAACCCAAGGCTGCTATTGCAAGGGACACAAAGCACAGAAATTCACTAAAGGTAACTGCCACCACGTTACTATTGGGGTTCTCCCCTAGCCATGGAGCAAAGTAACGGAAATCTCCAGGCTAAACACAGAACACCATTCACAAGAACAAGCTATGCTGTCTCCACACCACAGCTTGCACAGAACACAAACACAGTTGGTAGTTAGCCAGACCAAGCAGTCTGAGACACAGGATTAAGGCTTTGAAAACTCCTGAAGCTCAGTAACTCAGGCAAGGTAAAAATATAGTTTCTTTATTTAAATAAATTGTGCAAAGTTAATAAAACACGAGACAAAGGTAGTGCAGGACAAAATAACAAATCTAAGCATAACCAGCCTAGCTATACTTACAAGCAGCAAGCAAACAGGTTCAAGTTTCAAAGAGGCAAATAGTCCATAGACCCAAAGCATTCACTCAGCATCTTCCCTCAAGATGGTGAGTCCAAGTATTCAAGGCATTATGGAGGGCTGCTTGGAGTATTGACCAGACTAGCCAAAATACCCCAAGAATCCACACAGGTTACTGAGAACACAGAGTCTTATAGAAAAGGGGGGTCACGAGGGGCTCCGGCCCGGCAGCCACTCACCCACCCACCAAGGTGATGTCACAGCTACTAGTAACCAGGGTAACAAAGAATATCCCATAATACTTGTTGTTCAGTTCTGGGGAATCGAAAGTTATTTCTAGAAGATAACCCGACTCCCTCCTCCCATCACAGGTGCAAACAGTTGGAATGCTGCTAATGAATTAATGACCACCAAGGCCACACCGCTAAGGGTTTGCAGCTGGTACTGCCATGGGAGTGAAAGTCATAA